GTAAAGAGTGTCAATAACAGCAATGAAGGGTTCATCGTGTATTTAACAAAAATAAAGAGAGCTTCATAGCTGCCTACTACAGATATGAGTGTCTCAGATTTGTGCACAGTTTGGAGGGTGTCTTTCTGATGTTGTTATTAGTGTGTCTGGATGGTATTGGTTATCTGATGCTGAAAAGATTAGTGTGTGTAGCGTATACGTTTGTTTAATCTCTTGTGTGTAAGTCATCTTGAGTCTTATTCTGTCGGTTCTGGCTGTTATATATACTAATAAAAAACTGTTTTTTTTTTACAATTTCTACAGTTTGTATTGTGCAGATTTAAAGTTTCATTTGAAAAGATGTCCAGTATTTTGGAATTTTTCTGGATTGGCAACAATCATGTGCTTCAATTGAATCATGTTTTCGGAATCTAGTCCAAAACAAGCAAAATTTGATCATAATATTCTCACCCTTGTCTGTTTTAAACAATACTAGTATCTTTTAGAAGCTATTTAAAAAAATCAATCATTTAACCCAAAATATTATTGAATCATTGATTACATGGTCCGATTTAGTAAACTACGCACATTTGAATTTCTTACGACATTTAAAAAAAAAATTATACTCCTATAAATCTATAATTAGTAAATGATGTAGAAAAACAATGGCAGACTGGCAGTACTAGATATATATGCGTGGCCCGGTTCTGGTCTGACCGGTCCGGCCTAGTTAACCGGGACCGGTTCCAAGCCTAGGACCGCCTGGGGGCATGGGCGGAGCTAAGGGTGGGCCAACCTAGGCCCACCCCAAATTTTAATGGCTTAATTTTTAAGGTAAAAAAAATTTGTGTTAATTTTTTTATAAAAATATTCTTTGTACCGGCCCAGTGTCCTGACTCTGCCCCTGCCCGGTGATTGTTTGGGACGGTTCCGGGCTGCCCCTCCTTTGGAACCGGTCCTGGCCCATTTTTTTTGTTTTTTCAAATATTTTTGGTGGTAGGTGGGTTGGGCTGTGTGCTTTGGGGGGTGGGGGGTTGGAATTAATTAGAAAAGCTATAAAAAAAATAAACCCGGTCCGAGCCCGGTCCGGTTCCGGTGGAATCCCGGGCCGGTTCCGGGCCTATACCCACAAACAAAAAGCCCGGTTTGTATCAACCCGGTCCGGAACCGGTCCATGCCTAGTAGTTAGGGTTGTAAACGAATCGAATAATTTTGATTTGATTCGTGATTCGAATTCGAAAATGCCGATTCGAATTCGAGTAAGTAGAATACGAATACGAATACAAATCTATTTTTTATTCGAATATTTTACGAATAGAAATACTATGATATTCGATCCGAATAATATTCGAATATATTCGAATTATATAAAGTGCAGTAAATTTCAAGAATTTATTTGATTGTCTTCCCGGTCGAATTTTGAGCTTAAATTTGGTATGGACAAACTAGACTTGATGAGGAACATGCTCAAAACATTTCATCGAAAAATTCCATCGGGAACCGCCCCAAACAGTGAAGTTCGGACGACTGCTCCCGTCCCTCCGGCTGGACCTGAGCAGTCATACACACACACACACACACACACACACACACAATGTGCAGTATGTTTCAAGAATTTATTTGAATGCCTTCCTGATCGAATTTTGAGCTGAAATTTGGTATGGATAAACTAGACTTGATGAAGAACATGCTCAAAAAAATTCATCAAAAAATTCCACCGGGAACCACCCCAAACAGTAAAGTTCGGACGGCACCTCCCGTCCCTCCGGAAGGACCTGATCATATATATATATAGGGGTGAGATCATGAGATCACATACAAACTAGTCTTCCCATGCTAACCTACAAACTGTCACAAACTGTGCATCTTTACATTATTTATACTGCATATTAAAGTTCAAAGTGCTTCATATTATTTGTACTGCATATTAAAGTTCAAAATACTGCATATTATTTTTAGTGCATATTAAAATTCACAGTGTGCATCTTTACATTATTTGTACTGCATATTGAAGTTCAAAGTGTTGCATATTATTGAGTTTGTAGGTTAGTATTTTAAGCATGGTTTGTATTTGATCTCTTACCTATGTGTGTGTGTATAGACACACACATTCAAACAATATACTACGTATATTACTTCTTATGAATAAATGTAATTCAATGTAAAAATATTAATAACATAATATTCAAGTAAACATTTTGCATATTTTAATTTAAACATTCTTACTTTACCAGGTCAAAATAGCTTAATTTACAATTAGAATTCGCCGTTAATTTATTTATATTGATATTAAATTTGAAGTGACTTGTATAAATGTATTTTGTTTCCTATGAAATAGTAGTATGTAATATGAAAATGAGTTAAAAGGGGCAAACTATACATCATAGTTTTAATTATTTTCACAAATTGACTTTAATGTTTTTCGAATTCGAATTCGATTCGAAAAAGATTCGAATATATCAAACGAATCGAATACGAATACAAAATAAAATTCGAATTTTAAAATGAATACGAATACGAATATTTGATAATTATATGAATACGAATAATATTATCAAGTATTCGGTTCGATTCGATTCGTTTACAACCCTACTAGTAGTAGATACAAAATGAAGTATGAAAAATATACTATCCTAAATATACTCTCTCAAATTTCTGTTTTTTTTTTTCGTTTTTAGTTTATTTATTTATTTATTATGCTTCTGCTCCTCCAAATCTTCGTTTCCTTTTTTTTTCTTCTGGTGTGATTAAATTAGTATGGTTTTGTGGTTTGGAGGGCAACATATATACTTCGTACAACCGATCGAATATCATTTGATTTCCAATATAATTTACAAATTAAATATACATATTATTATTAAAAAAACATATATTCGTGTTTTTTAATTTTTATATACTTCGTATGTTGTATTTAACCACAAACGGAAAACGCAATAAGAATTCAATGAAAACGGACTAAAAATTTACCAAAAGAGGGAGTATTATGTAAAACAAAATGCTGAAAAGGCTATGAACAACATCCTTACACATTTTCGCAGGAAATTTTGGTACATTATCATAACCGCATCCACAATCTTATCCTTAGTCGTGATTAATAAAATAAAGGACCATATTGTAATGTCAATCAAGGTGAGATCATATAACAAGCGACTATAGTTAGATCTTTTAAAATACCATGGAAGCATCCTTAAGCAAATAGACCCAAGTTTAGTTCTTTGTAATAAGTGTGAGTAGGCTGCTTTTTCAGCCCTTAAACTAACAATTTTTCGGGTGGAATTTATTGAAGTTCTTCGGAATGATTTTGTTGGTGAAAATTATGATCATGTTTCTCTTTGAAGTATAGATTATGTAAAAAAAATAGTTTAAAGTTCAATTTAGAAGTCAGTCAAATAAATTATTGAAAAACAATACCTTTTATACATATTTTGGCGCATATTTTTTAATAATTTATTTTACCGACTCCCGATTGAATTTTAAACTAAAATTTTATGGACATTGATTAAAAACATTCTCTTAAAATTTTACAAAAAAAAAAATCACTTGAAACCATATTAGTCTGATATGATTATTTGATTAGTTTATTAATTGATTTCATTCATAGTTGATTGTTTGATTTCTTAATTGTTGATTGATTTCTAATAATGTGTAATAAAAAGGATTGAATCTGAATAGGATAAATAAAAAAGGAGATGATTAGAGAAACTGAGAAAGCGACGCTAAGTAAAAAAAAGTTCAATGAAAAAGTTTGTTTGTTTAAATAAGTCAAATTCTGAATGTCCTCTTCAAGATGATAACTCATAGAAAAACAATAATTTAGCTGCTGAAAATGAAGTGATTCAGAATGGTTACATCATTGGAGGGGTATTTAGGAGGTAATATAAAGTTAATTCCTTAAATATGACTTAAACATTGATAAAGTGTACAAATAGGATCATCATTGTTCCCTTCTTAAATAAGGATCTCCAATACTAAAATATGATTGATTTAGACAGAATAGGGTTTGACAGCTTTTTACAAATGTCTTGAAATATTATTATATTATTATTACTATTATTATGCATATCAGTGTAGATAGAAAAATGTTCTACAAATTTTTAAAACATTAGGCCCATTTTCATTTTCCGCACCTAGGCCTTCGAACATACAGGGTCGCCCCTACCCTTAAGTGAAACTCCTACCTAATCTATCTAATATAACATTGAATTTGTTTTAAAAAAAAAAAAAAAGATGACACTCCATCCCTGAAGAACCCCCAACACCGATAAAATATGAGAGTAATATATTTACTCATATATGGAGAATAGATTAACGTAGAGTCCGTTTTGTAGCACGAAAATCGGTTGTTTTGGCTGATTCTGTTGAAATTTCTAAAGTTCTGGCTGAAGTGACTGCATTGACTGATTCTGCTGATTTAAGAAACAATTATTTGTAAAATATATTTTATTAATAAAATAAAGAAAAAATTATATGTAAAAATAGCTAAAATAGTCATCTATAGTAACTTCAGCCAAAACAATCAGAAAAATAACTTCAACCTTACTTTTTCTGTTTATTACACAACTCAGCGCGCGAAAGTAAAAGTTACGTGTTTGGTGAAAAAGTCGGCTAATAAGCCTGATAAGCCGAAAAACAGTGCTGTCAAACGGCCTCGTAGTATTCATATTTTATAATCCCAAAGGTTTTTATTCCTATTCAAGATATTTTCTAATATCTTAATGTCAAGTGCAACGTCATTCATAGAGAAGTACAAACTGAAGTATTTGGGAATTATGAAAGCCCTGGTTTACCGCTTTTGAGATTGGGTTATGATGATAAAGATGTACTCCGTAGACAGGGAGTAAAATTAATTAGTAGCAATTAATTAACTAAACACACCATCATCAATTAAATGAGTTGCGAACATGTGTTGCATTAATTAGAAGGAATTAATGTTAATTTACACCATTTTTGAAACGTAAAAAGGTCCAAAAAGGTACAAAACAAGTTAAGTAGAAAAATAAGATGATCAGCACCAGTCAAATGTGTACAAAAGAGAGCATGCATGAAGAAAGAAAAAATATAGCAGCTGGCTGGGTAGCTATTATTCCGAGAAATATGTGGGAGGCATTGAATTTTGGTTAAGGATTTCTCCTCCTCTAATTTCTCACAATCAAAACTAATTCCTCTTCTTATTTGCTCCTCCCATCTCTCTCCACCTTCTCCATTCCCTTGAGACTTTCCCCCCTTTTCATTTCCCCTTTCTCTTGTGAATTTCTTGAGGGAATGCCTCTCTCTTCCTTCTAAAGGCAAGGCGGCCATTATTGAATTTTCATGCTTACTCCATTTTCCCGCCCCCTTGTTATCTAATGTGTTTTCATGTGCATGAAAAATGGACTGCATGATTTATGATCATCTTGATAAATCTTGTTGATGCAATGCATGAAATGGGAAATTAATTATGGGTGATTCGTCGTTACAATTGTGTGTATGAATGGGTACTAAAATGCAAAATGACTGTTATGAATTTCTAAGTCTAGTATCTATATATAGTCCAGTTTAGGTCAGAATTACATTTTGTTCGTGAGAATGTGTGGAGTTTGGTTGATTAAGAAACGCTTTTTTCATAGTGGTAAAAATGTTCGGTTTATTTACGAATGGATGCCATTTCTATCATTTTCTCTACATTGTTGTCCACTTTATATATTTAGAATTTTTATACAATGCACCATAATCATTCCTATATGTGTAAATGTGCTTATAGTGTGCATTCTTATATTTATTCATTGAAATTGTGGAGACAGGATTGGGAGAACATGATAATAATGATGATGAAGCATCTCTTGCTCATTTGCTTGCTGGTCCATATCGCTAATGGAGCAGGAAAACCTCCAGCTAGGCCAGTTGAAAAGAAATGGCTGACTCTGCATGGTAATAAAATCCAGTCACTTTGTGAATTAAAATTGAAAGCAATGGGTGTGACAGTAAGGGTTTGGAAGTTGGAACTTAGATAATCTAAGGGAATAAATAGAGAGTAAAACACAGAAGCTATTTGAAAAGAAAAAAAAGTTAAGGTAATTACAGCATTGGGTCAAACTCAATGAATTTAAGTATACTTTTTTCCATCAAACATATACTCAGAAATAAGTGAATTAAAAACATGAATCATATGCATTGTCCGATGCGTTTTTTAGGTAAAGCCGAACGCAAGGAAGTAACTCTATTTAATATTCCATTCCTTTCATTAGCACTTTCAAGGATCCAAACATAGCCTAAGAGTTTGTGTTGATAGAAAATGCTAAGGATTGATGTCCTCCTCCATTTGTGTTTCCTTGGACAGGAGGCGATCCTGTGGTGGTGGCTAACGGGGGGTTGTCTGGTGTCTTTCCTGAAAGCAGTTGGGGGGCTTATACTTATGGCATACCACAGAGTTTAATGGGATCTCCCATGCTCTGTGATCTAAAACTCAGCAAGGATGGGTTTGGTTATTGTATGTCAAAAATGCTCCTTCAGAATGCAACCACAGTTTCTGACACTTTCCCCAATGCACGCAAGACATACGATGTTAATGGCGAAAAGCTTACAGGGTGGTTTGGACTTGATTTCAATGCTCAAACCTTGTTTGAAAATATAACATGTAAGCATACTTTTAGCGCAACACGTAACTATTGATTGTTGGTTGGCTGCTGTAAATCATCAATCGCGTACTGCTTTAAATAAAAGCTCATATAAAGAGTCGATTAAAGGGGAAAACTTAAGTCTCATTAATCATTCCAAGCCATATATATAGCTGATGAGTAATACGTTTACAATCATAACAATACTGACTAAATCTTCCTGATATTCCGCCAACCTGCAGTGATACAAGGCTTGTTCACTCGACCTTCAAGTTTTGATAACAGCTATACAATAAGTTCACCAGAGTCACTTGAACAATTGGGGACAGGACAGGACATGCCCATAGTGTGGATAAATGTGGAGGTGTGTATGTATATGATTCAACTAATCATTTAGATTAGATATGTTCAGTCATACAGAATGGTCGTATATAAACGTATAAACTCATATACATGGTATAAGATTTAGAGTTGCACATATGTTTAATTGAGTGGTGTGTGTTGCAGTATGACAATTTCTACCAGCAGCACAAGCTGAGCATTGAATCATATCTGGAAGATATGCTTCCAGCAGTGAAAATCAATGTCGCTTACATTTCATCTCCAGAAATTGGTTTCTTGAAGAGTATTGGCCCAAAAGTTGCACCAACAGTAAAGCTCTTCTTCAAGTTCCCATCTGACTTGGAAGCTGTTGAACCCTCAACAAGCCAAAAGTATGGATCACTGATTAAGCAGCTCAAAATGATAAAGGGCTTTGCAGCAGGAATCCTGGTTCCGAAAGATTTCATATGGCCAGTTAATAAAGATCGCTATCTGGAGGCGTCTACAACCCTTGTGACTGATGCCCACAAACAAGGGCTTGAGGTGTTTGCTTATGGCTTTGCAAATGATAATTACATCCCTTACAACTATAGCCTTGACCCAGCAAATGAGTACCTCCAGTTTATTGACAACTCCCACTTCTCTGTTGACGGTGTCGTCACTGATTTCTGCTCAACTGCGTCCAATGTCATTGCTTGCTTGGCACACAACAACAATGCTTCGAGGGTGCTAAAAAGTAAGCAACTACATTTGATGATCACAACATTTTATCCTTCCATCCACCCATGCCATGTTGTTTTTGCCTGTGTATATGTATACTTATGTATTTTGCTATGTAATGACAGTGGAGGTATTTTTATAGTGGCCATGTAATCATAGTCTTGTTCATAAGTTTTGTGTAGAAATATTATTATAGAAAGAATGCTTATACATAAGGATATGATGATCACAACATTTATCCATTTATAATCCATTAATTCCTGGTTGTTTTTGTGAATGTAGCATTGGTCATTTCTCACAACGGAGCAAGCGGTGACTACCCAGGAGGGTCAGATCTTGCTTATCAGAAGGCTATAGATGATGGAACTGACATAATTGATTGTAATGTCCAGCTTTCCAAAGATGGAGTTGCATTCTGTCAGGATTCAGCTGACCTTAAGTTCACCACTACAGCAGGAACAACTTTCATGGATAAGGTGGAAGAAATTAAAGAAGTTAATGATGGGCAACCTGGAATTTTCTCCTTTGGTCTTACCTGGGATGAAATTCAATCCCTAAAACGTAAGTGTCAAACTATCCAGTCATATATGAAGATACGACTTACATTTAAAACTTTAGACTTCTTCTCTTATCAGTTTGAGATTTCAAAATATGAAAGAAAAATATCTCTAACATGTCCCATATCACACTTTGCTTAAGTTTTGTTTCTAAATTGGCACCTTTTTATTTTTCTGTTTTTACTTGCAGCGAAAATAAGTTCTCCGTACGAAGCACCATTGGACAGGAATCATGCATACCAGTTTGCTGGGAAGTTTATGACTCTTCCAGAGTTTCTGGAATTAGCCAAGGCAAAAGCAGTCCCTGGAATTATGGTTGGCTTAGAAGTAAGTTATTAACTGTTACCCATGCATATTTCTTCTACATTCTGATAGTTACTATAACTAATTACAAATTGTTGAATTCTGATCTTGTAAAAAAATACTTTGGTGTCCTAGAATGCTGCCTACCTTGCAACAAAGGGTCATGACCTAATTGGTACAGTCACATCTGCACTAAAAAATGCTTCATTTGACAAGCAAACGAAGCAAAAGGTGATGATTAAGTCGGATGACAGCTCTGTGTTGCTAAAGTTCAAGAATGATACTCCGAGCTACGAGAGAGTGTTAGTGTTCAAAAGGGATTTCAGCTCAGTGCCTGATCAGAGTTTGGCAGAAGAGGTTAAGAAGTACGCTGACGCCATCTCCATGCGCAGAAACTCCCTGGTGTTGGAGTATGGTGACCCGTATTACATGACCAGAAACTTTACCAACGTGGTTCACGCCATGCATGCAGCAAATGTGTCTGTCTATGCTTCCAATCTCAAAAATGAATTCCAAAGCTTCCTTTTCGATTACAACAGTGATCCTTACCAAGAGATTGCTACTCTTGTTAGCATTGGTGTGGATGGACTCATCACAGATTTTCCTGCAACTGCTGTGGCATACATGAGTAAGAACTTCTCTGATCTCAGCATCTTGTTTCAATATGATATCATACCTAACCAAATCAGTTCATACTAGGCCAATCCAGCAGTTATGTCTAAAAGATCTACCTATAGACATAACTCGAGCAGTTCACACCTAAGGCCTTCTGCTTCTGTAGCTGTAGACTGTAGGGCATGATAAAGCATTTTAATTTTTTAAGAGTTCAATTCATATGTAATTACTATTGTGTTTTGATTTTAATACTGCATGGGGCTGAATGCAGGGTCACCATGTTCTGATCCAAAGGCAAACCTTCCATATACCATCTCAGCAGTTGCACCAGGTGACATGTTCAACAACAGTGTGGCTCCACTCATACCAGATTTTGATCCAAAGCTTATAAACATGACCACCTATCCTGCCCTTTCTTCCAAGGACATCATCTCTGAAGCTCTACCTCCAGTAGCTCAACCCAACACAACTGCCTCCCCGGACTCCTCCACCACCACCACCACTGCTCCTCCACCTAAAGAGTCAAGCAGCACAAGTTTTGCACCAACCAGCACTGCTCTCTTTCTTGTCACCTTGGCTGCAATACTACTTGCTCCATCTTTCTAGGAAATAATATAAATTGAATGCTTCTAACAATCTAACTCACGTTTCAAAAAATATGGGATCCCAAGGAACATCAATTGTCTAGCAGTGTGAAACATCCTTTGTAATTTAGGATAGTTTAGTGGGAATGATATGGCCAAAGACAGCTCCTTAATTGCTTGTACGAACACTGATCCTTGCAGAATGAGCTCATCAAGGAAAACCTCCAATATTTATTGTACAGTGAAGAGGGAGGGGTAGGAGGGAGAATAACAAGAACTTGATAATATAACAGATTTGATCCATGAAGTTTATATATACGACCCTTTTTAATCCCTTGTTTTTATCATTTAATGTGAATAATAATGTGATGCTCATAAATCCTCAGTTCCTCCAGTAATGATATTAATCAGTCAAGATTTACAACGAATCTTTTTTAAAAAAAAATAGAAATTACAAAGATAACTATGAAACTTGTGCATTCCGAAACAGACATTAGTCACATTACACATTAAAGTTGTACAATGAAGATCGAGTTTCATTTAAGGGTGGATTGGGCCGAGCTTCGGGCTAGGACTGGGCAAGCTCCGGGCCAAAAAACATCAGGCCTGGGTCGGGCCACAGGCCAGGTCAGCCTGCACAGTACCGGGCCGGGCCAAGTCCCGGGTCAGGCCGACCAATCCCAGCCCACCCCCAGTTTCTGAGTTTCATTAAACAATAAAAACACCAGCCAAATTGTCAACACAATACATGACACATCTAGATTCTTGATAGTATCTAGTAGATGACTAGATGACACTACTTAATTCAGATGTAGAATAAATCATTCACTGTATCATACGACACAAAGTTTAAACCGTTTCAATGCTATGGAACTGTTATACATTTTATCATGATTACAAGATACCAAAAAACTCAAAGAAAAAGACTTCAATCATACTTGTTATAGAACAAGATCACAACAATACAAAGTAGACAGAAAGGCAAAATTCTTCTTCTTTGGTGGGAGGCATTATGCTATCATTCTCCATCATTTGTTCGCAGCCCTTTACCCTTCAACCAGCTTAAAGTTTACGGCATCCTAAATGTATGGATTGCTTCTGCAAGCTTTCTAGAAGTCCAGCGCAAAACACATGTAACATGTAAACACTACCACATTCATACGTAGTAAAATAAAAGCCCACAAGAGATTACAATAATCCTCTTTGAAGATATCCATAAACCCGTACCTCAACACAACCTTCCAAAACAATAAGAGTAAATAACCCAAGAGAACCTTAGATTAATGCTTCCCATTGGAGGAATTATATTCAGATATTATATTCATCAACAATTTTTATTCAGTGATGATTACAAATCACCCAGCCACAATTGAGAATGACATCAGCCAAGATGAACAGAAACCTAGACAGCTCCAATGACATCTGCCTAACAAAACTTTTCCTTTTTGAAACTTCATTTTTTAAATATAACAAAAGAACAAATTTTGAATATAAATATAAAATAATGAGGAATGCAGGAAGTAAAAACATGCAAATAGTGGCAAATAAGAGCAGGAATTAAAAACATGTGATTAGTGGCAAATAAGAACAGGAATAGTTTTCAACAATAAATAATATCAGGAATTATAAAAAAGAAAACACTCGGTGTAAAATAATCCCAAAAAATCGATGGTGGGGAACTGTTCTCAGCAAAAGGCCATTAATTTTCCACTTTCAAGGAACCGGCAGGCAGGTATCTGATAGTCCTATGATTAAGGTCGAAGGTAAAAAGAACCACATCCCCTCTTCCAATAAACTAAGAGAGCAAAGCATTCATCTGTGGATCCGTGGAGGAAACAGAGATTCATAAAGCTACGCTCCCAAGAGAAAAATGGAAGAAAGAACAAATCTTCAACTCAAATCAAGAACCACCCTTCCCCTCCCACCAACCCTCTTTCGGTGTGGTTAAAGCAAATGAATCATCATCGAACACCATCCCCGCACACTATATTTTCAGCAAAAACAAATGTGAAACTTACGAGAAAACAAAGGATCCCAAAGATAATTGAATCCGCGTGTCCATAAGTGCCATTAAAGATTTTTTTTTGCGCATCATATCGCATGGCCCCTCTGCTACATAACAGAGCAGAGAGCAGAGACATTCATAGTGTGCGCTTTTGTTTGAACTATAATATCTTTAATACAAGCTAATTAGTTAACAATGAACAACAAATTGGAGAGAGCAGAGATTAGAGGTTAGACTAAGAATCTAAGATGCAGAATGCAGGCAGCAGTGGGAGAATTTAAAGAGGTAGAAATTAGGGTTCTTTCTAGTCTAATATTCTAATATTCTAGTTCAAATGAACAAATTCGTTTCCACACAAAAAACGGAGAAAATATAAATATATTGAAAATATAAACTGGGAAACAAACTCCGCCACTGCCACTCCATTTTGGTTAGGGGCACAGAAAGATGGGTAACTATCTTCCACAAAAGGCAATCTAATGAGGCTCAGATTCGCCTTTTCTCAATCAGATGAGGAGACCGGACCTGCCATGGCTGCAAGAAAATGTGTGCCACGCCATGACAGGGTACTACGATCAACGCTCTTGATTTCAATTTATCATCAAACTATCATCACAGCCTCCAAATACACTAGTTCCTAGAGTTATGCACTCTGGCATCTTTCAATATGGACTGTAAGTTTTAGGGACGGAGGGAGTAGCAGAAAAGCGTCAAGCACAGATGAGGCTCAAAATCACACTATTCTCACTGGAGCAAATAGTTCACATGCCCGTCATGGCTGCAACAGGACAAGCTACCATGCCAAGGTACGGGCAGGCTTAAGAACTAGGGTTTCCAACTGGTAAGAATATTAGATTCATCACAGCCTTGGTAACTATGAGGATTAGGAGTTCAAGATAAAGTAAGAATGGAACGGAGGAAGTATATATCAACAATTCAAGGATGTTTGACTGAGGTTTAGATGATCATAGACCAGCATCAAACAATCGCCTTGCTAGGGTTGTTGATATAAACAATGTACGTAGTGTTTCTTAAGCAAGGAAATCATAGGCAATTGAACTAGACAGAAAGAGAGATCAACCACCCTAAGAAAGTCCCTACCTTTCTGGAAGTTGCAAAGAGCCTCATTCTGGAAATTAGGGCACACCAGCTAAGAACTGAAACCAGTCAGTCTTCGCTACATAGGCTCAGACTCGACATTCTTTCAGAGACTAAGGTGCGAATCCCCGCTGATGGCTGCTACACGGTAACATTCGGAAACGGAATTCAGAAAATGATCCCTCCGAGCTACTGAGTTGCCACGCCAAAATCAGCTTGGTTTCACAACATAGACTTGAAATTTTCAATCATCATTGCCCCACGGACAGGAAACGATGATGATGATGATGATGATGAGTTGAGATGATCATTGGCTGAGAAACGGCAGAGAGGAGGCAACCCCAGACGAAATCGCTATCTATCCATCTCTGCGCGTTTCCAGCCTCACACTTAAACTAATGAGATGCTTGAATGCTCAAGCTCTTGACGTATTTATTGTGCCCTAGGTTGATATGGATCGGATTGTTACTGTTTCATGTTTGCTTGTGCCCATTACATTTCGCGGGCTTGGGATTCGAGATGGGCCCTTATCCATAGGGCTGAGTATAATCTGGTCTATACCACAAAATCAGACCAAACCGGATCGGTTTAGTCATGGACCGGGCCCGGTCCGGTTCTGGTTCGGGCCCGGCCGGGCCTTTTTTTGGATCTTAAAGCCCGGGCCCGTCCCGGGTGTTGAACGGTTCCGGTTCGGTCCGGGTCACCTGCCCGGGTACCGACCCGGGCCAGTTCCGGTTCATTTTTTTGGTTTCTTGTTTCCTAATTAATTGTAGAAGTGCTGCATATAAAAAAAATCAAATATACTTATTTGAAATATGAGGTACAATTGAGAATAAATTAAAACCTGAAATACATTTCTAATTTCTAATAAATTATAAATTTATAATCAATCGGAATCTCCGCGCTCGTCGGTTGTTGTTTCCTCCATAAAGTGTTCGGTGGGGATGATGCTAAGTTCTTGAGTTCTACGTTGGGCATTCAACCAATCGTGGTAGCAAACAAGCGTCTCAAGAGAGTTTGCGCTCAATCTCATTCTATAATCCGTTAGAACGTTGCAGACCGCACTAAATTCTTGGTCCACAGCAACTGTTGAAATCGACATTGATAGCACTTGCTTAGTCATCTTTGATAAAATTGGAAACATTCTTTCTTTTTCCTTCCACCATTTTAGAACGTCAAAGTCCTCATCTTCTTCATAATCAACAAGATATGCTAGATATAAAGTAAGCTCATTAAATGAGCTTTGTTCAAGAGCGGGAGTTGATTTACTTTTTTTTAATAAGATTCCCAAATGTAGATTTAAAAATGATTTTCCTTTAGGTGAAGATATTCGTGTCGGGGGAGGGGGTGTGTTGCCATATTGTACATGAAACTCATTAAATAATTGATAAAATAAATTACTAACCTCGTTGTATTCTGCCAAGTACCTTGTGGTCTGATGGCATCACTGCTGATCTCCCAAAGAGGAGGTCGCATGTTCGAGTCTCATCCCGATCAAGGATGTTGGCATTAACTAGAGCAGATACTATAATAGGTGTAGAAGAATGTCCCCAAAAAAAAACTCGTATTCTTGTTTAGGATCTATGGGGTTATCTTCATACATAGGAAATTCACCAAAAAACAGAAGCATAATAGAAGTCTAGACATCGTGATAAAGCAGCAAGTCTATAACGAGGATCAAGAATAAATGCAATACCATAAATATGCGGAATATGTGAATAATATTTTAAAAACTTTTTTTTTTTGGAGTTGTACCAAAACCCGAAATATTCCGATACGAATCGATTAGACGGAAATTTGAAATTATATACGGAATACAGATATACAGGTATTTACATATGCAATAATATTGTATATACATTTATACTTATCGACATATAATAAGTGATAAAAAAACATCCAGATTAACTCAATTTGAACACTATTTATATACTTAGATTAATAAATTGTATAGCCTAAAACATTTGAAAGCTAGGTGCATGTTTTTTATTTACTATTGTTATATTCTTGTAGTGATAATACATACATGATCAATGTAGTCATTTTTTATTGAATTTGTAAAGCTAATGAGTTAAACTATTTGTTAACTAATCGTTCAAATAAGAAATATAAGGATGAGTTAATATATATGATCACATTAGAAGTTTTTTTCGTTCCAATATAAAAGATTAAATGAGAAATATAATGATCATACATAAATCAACATAAAATTATAATAGGA